GTTCACATGATACTGATGTCTGATGTTGCTGGCAAGGTATCTTCGCGACTTGCACAATTGCTTCCACGGCGGGCTTGCGCCGACATGGTTGGAGTCGATCCTGGGCTCAGACGACGTTGAGCAGGCTAGTCATGAGATAGTTGTTTGTCAGTCACCCACTGTCATGTGCTGCGGAGTAATGCCATAGCATGATGTGAGATACATTTTTCTTGTGCTGTGACTGCGACAGGGATGGAGTCGTCATGCTCAGAGTGAAGGCATTACAACATCCAACTGCGCGTACCAACAGATGTACTCACAGTGGGTGAAGGACAACTTCAGTCAGCGATACAAGACGTTTCAGCAGTTTGACCTGTCGAAACGTGTGCGCCACTATGTTGTCGACCTGGAAATCCTTGAAGAGTTCAGTGGTTTGGGAGACAAGTGTGACTTTGAGAACAACGCCTTGCAGACCTTGGCGGTTCTCCAAAACTTTCACAGTCTCGGAAAAATCATCGCTGGACTTGTGGGCACCTACGACACGAACTTGCTGGCGCAGATTTTCATGGCTGCATGCCGACATTTGGCCAGAAGCTCAGGCAATGTCGGCCGTTGAATCCGTTGCGCATTGAATGTGTCACCGATCTCAAACTGCATGCGTGCCAAGGTTCCTCTTGTCAGAGACCCCAGCACACCGGACGAGCCACCGTTGCCAGACTGGGCTTTCACCAAGCACATGCCATCAACGATCGATCGAATGAAGACAGAGATTGGTGGTGGAGCTTTCGTGGCCAAGATCTTCCGGACGTCTTCCCGCCCACAGCAGTCCACAGATGAGCAGATTGTGGATGTGTCTGACTTGCTTGTTCCAAAAAAGAAGAAGCGAGTGGCTGCGAAGAGCAAGGCTAAGGCTAAAGCCAAACAGACACAGGATGACCGGGAAGATGCAGAAGCCGTTGTCGCAGACGTTGAACAGGCAGGAGGATGCACTCGAAAGCGATGGTGGATCGACGATGTCATTGCATCGCTCGTGCACGCGGCAGGTCTGTTGTTTGCACCTTTGAAGTCTTGATCTAGTTGTACCACCGATGCAATCTGACGTGTGTGTGCCTGCATCATTAGTGCATCGTTTGTTACTGTGTTGCGGAAGTTAGGTGATCTGGACACGCTCATGGACCCGGCGCATCGCAGTGCTTTGAAGCAAGCACTGGGCATTGCAGTTGAGCTGGTGTTCCACGGGTCTGTCATTGTCAACGGGGGCAAGCCAAAGAGGGTGTGGTCACAGGTACGCCCCCTGGTGCAAGATGCAATCCGGAAAGGCATCGCGCGGTCCAGATCAGTCATGGCTACGTCCACCAGAGATGGTGTTGCTGCCATGGCAAGTGAATGTGCCCGTGAGTCGCTCACGGCAGGAGCGTCGAACCCGGGGGAGAGGTCGGTGGCGTTGTTCATGACTGAGAAGAGTGCTGAGGCTGTCAGAAAGTGGCTGGCTGCGAATGGATCCAAGAATCATGCAGAGCACTCGGCTTTCTGCACGGCCATGAACAAGTTGAGCAGCAAGCTTTGCAAGTGTCGTCGCGACACAACTGCTTGTCCAATTCACTCCGGAGCGAGCGTGACCATCCCTGATCTTGTCTGGTGGAGTGCTGATGCCATCTACGAGAGTGTGCCATGCGCTGTGCCAACATTTGCAGTCGCCTTGGCAGTCAGGTTCGCAAAATCCCAGCAGCCTCAACCCAGCTCATGCTCGTCAATCACAGCTGCAGAACCACTTCCTGCATTCTGCCAGTTCTTGTGTTGCAAGGATGCTACGCCTGCCGCACAGACAGGAACCGCCGCCACAGACGCAGATGCTGCTGAAGCAGATGTTGTGATGGTTCCCAACAATGCAGCGCTGGAAGCGCTGACGGCAATGCGGCCCGCATACTTGCTCACAATGATTCCCAAAGTGCTTGGGGCACTGTCACAGAATCCGACACGGAAGTGCCGCTTCGCGGACTGTCAAGCACAGAGTCTCCAATCTGCTTGCAACGCGTTGCTGAAGATAATGGAACCGGCCAATGCCGTCAAGGGTGACAGTGACTTGCCGGTGTCCACGCAGCTGGAGATGTTGCTCGCGACAATGGTGGCAGACGAAACAGATTGGGCAACCGGGTGGAGCAAGCTTTTGACAAAGACCATAGGGTTGGAGATGGGGTCAGCAGGCCCTGAAGAATTTCAGAGCAGATTGTCAGCTCTGACTGTGGGTGATCTCGGCTTAGATGTGCCAGCAAAGTTCAAGTACATGCTTGGCCGACCAGACCAACCATCCGTGAAAGATGAGGTTCTCAGTCCTGGACCACGAACAAAAGGCGATGCACACCCCGGCGCTGCTTCAGAGCCATTTGCGTGTGGCGGTTCTCTTGTTCGCTTGTCCGACGTCTATGTCTTTACTGGCGATGTGCCGTTCAACGTCTTGGATGTGTTGAGCATCCAGATGCAGATTTCAACGCACTTGTACGCCAAGGCGTTTCCTGCTTAGTCGCAGACACACAAGAATAGGTGCAGCGGCGCAGCGAGTAGATTGTAGAGCTGAGCATACCCCTTGTCCTCTTGTCAACGGTGTGCCTGTTCATGTTGTCAAGGTTGTCGGCGTCAGACAAGCACATCATGGACATACTCTACATCGACTATGCTCAGGGCACGAAGGCTGCTGTCACCATTGACCTCAGTAAGGTCGAAGATGCTGGAGACAAACCTCAGCCTGAGCTCAAGATCTGGATGTTCGGTCAGGTGGTGACGGATATGGGGCCCAAAAACAATTACCCATTGGCTTCCGGGCAGCAGCATGTGATCATGTTATGTCTTTGTAGCAATCGCAATGGCATACATGAGTCATGAGTCGCGAGTGGTCAGCTGCAGAGTCTAGAGTCCAGAGGCTGCAACAGCAACAATTGGTGGCCAGACCGTCAGCTTCTACCTTGCCCCGACCGGGTTCGACAAGAGCAGCAGCACAGCTCCTTGTGTGGGCTGGATGATCAAACCTTTGCCTGACGAAAGCAAGACACCGCCGCTGATGATTGCTGAAGTTGAAGAACACACCATGAGCTTCCCAGCGGCGCTACTCAGCCTACTCAGCCGATCACATTCACGTGTCGTGATCAGTTGTTTGCCTGCAGTGTGCGGAGTTTGTTTGTGTGTGCGTCATGTCATTGTCTAGAGGACTGGAAGCACGGTGCAAGTCCACATGCACTACAACATCTTGAGGGCGGATCCACAGCGAATCGACGACGCGAAGGCGTGAGTGGGTGCTGTTGTTACGGTTACGCAGGCCCTGGATTGATGCCACCACACAACAACAACAGCAGCAGCAACAACAACAACAACAACAACGACAACGACAACGGCAACGACAACGACAACGACAGCGACCACGACCACGACAACGACAACGAAAACGAAAACGACAACGACAACGGCAACAACGGCAACAACGGCAGCAGCAGCAACAACAACAACCACCACCACAACCTCTGCCACTACCACAACCACTACCACAACCACAACCACAACCACAGCAACAGCAACAGCAACAGCAGCAACAACAACAACAACAACCACAACAACCACAACCACATCCACAACCACAGCGACAACACCACTCCCAACAACAACCACAACTGACAACTGACAACATACACAACTGCAGCCACAACCAAAACCTCGACAACGCCGACAACGCCAACAACGCCAACGCCAACAACAGCAACAGCAGCAGCAGCAACAACAACAACAAAAACAACAACGACAACAACAACCACAACAACAACAACAACAACAACAACAACAACAACAACAACAACAACAACAACAACAACAACAACAACAGCACCAAACAACAACAGCATCAGCAGCAGCAGCAGCATCAGCAGCAACATCAACAGCACCAGCAACAACAACAACAACAACAACAACAACAACAACCACCACAACCACCACAACAACAGCGACAACAGCGACAACAGCGGCAGCAGCAGCAGCAGCAGCAGCAGCAGCAGCAGCAGCAGCAGCAGCAGCAGCAGCATTTGCAGCAGCAACAACGCCAGCAACAGCAACGGCAACGGCAACGGCAACGGCAACGGCAACAGCAACAGCAACAGCAACAACATCAATGCCTGGACCATAACCACAAACCGCATCCACAACAACAACAGCAACAACAACAGCAGCAACAGCAACAGCAACAGCAACAACAACAACAACAACAACAACAACAGCAACAACATCTAACAACATCAACAACAGCAACAAGAGCGACAACATCAACAACAGCGACAGCAGCGACAGCAGCGACACCAGCAACAACAGCAACACCAGCAGTAACAACAACAACAACAACAACAACAACAACAACAACAACAACAACAACAACAACAACAACAACAACAACAACAACACCAACAGTAACAGCAACAGCAACAGCAACAGCAACAGCAACAGCAACAGCAACAGCAACAGCAACAGCAACAACACCAGCAGCAGCAGCAACAACAACAACAACAACAACAACAACAACAACACCAACGATATCATCCTGCAGCTGCGTGGGGGACAGTTGGTGCCTGGTGCGACTGAGTGAGTGTAGATGGGCTGTGGTGTGATTGCATGCGCCGTCTGCAGGCAGCGCTGAAGCAAATGAAAGGAGATTCTTACAACTGCACGAAGGTGGCATTGTCTCGCTCCCTCTTCAAAGAAGAGAAGAATAAGAAGAAGCAGGCTGCTGGGACCGCGAGCAAGGCACAGGCAAGCTTGAGCGGTGGCGCAGCGCTTGCCGAAATGGCAAAGCCACAGAAGAATGCCAAGAACTCGAAGTCAGAAGGCGACTTAATTGTGTCTGACTTGAAGCACTCCTCGACAAGGGGAGGCGACAAGGGTGACAAGGACATTGCATTTTTGCTCAAGTGAGATGCGGCCGGGACTGCTCCACTGCTCCAGGGATAAGGTGTGGTCATCATGTGCATTGTTTTGATTGTGCTGTGGGCTGTGAGATGAGGATATGCCTGACAAAAAAAACCCACCTACTGTGCTATCATGGAGTGCACACAGTCTCGTCCGCACAAATTTAGGTCAGGTGGTCAGGTGTCTGAAATCAGGCACGGCGACACCAGTAGGAGTCGTAGGATCGTAGGAGTAGCAGTAGGAGTCATGAGTGAAGTCAGCAGAAGTCAATGTGGCTGCATTTGGTGGTGCGCTGCGCTGGTGGCACGGTTGTTTGTTTCGTACTGAGCTTGCAACAGTCGAGCAGTTGCTCTATGTTCCAGCCGCGTCAGTCAGCGACATACCACACGCCACACGGTTCCCTGAGCCATTACTTCGCATTCTGAGACACTACTGTGGTGCTCGAAGTGCTCGAACACATGTCTGATACGCAATAACAAGCACTACACTGTGATTCGTGAACTGGTGCACACTGCCGTACCACACGTATGTGCTCAGCTGGCCGGATTACTGTCGGATGAGGGGGGTAGGCGACTCGACAGTGGTATGGCGGGATGGGAAAAACATGCAGAGTTGCAGTTGCAAAGCTTGACTTGCTTCGCCTGCACTGTTTCCTGAAAGTCGAAGAGTCGAATGCATGGAGCACGCATGATGCACATGACACATGATCGCACACTGGGGTGAAACGGTGAAACCATGCGTTGCACATGTGCCGATGTGAAACACTGTGAAACTGCAGACTGCGCAGCCATGAAAGCCATACATGCTTGCACTTGCACTGCACTTGTTCATTTGCTAAGGTGAAGCCGCCGTGGCCGACCCGAAGCCCAGAGACTGCGAGCATCAAGAAACAAGCAGCCGCCTGCGTCTGCCAGTGTGTTGACTTGTCAGACTTGTCAGACAGCAAAGATCCAAAATGCAACAATGCAACAACAAAACTATTTACGATTAGCTACGTTTTCTGAGTGTGCAACGTTCATCATCTTGAGACTAAAGACGAAACATCACCGTTTCCAGTCGGCACAGAACACAAAGCTACAACTTCAACACAACGTTTTTCAATTTGAATCGTCACTGATTTGAATCGTTTTCTACTGCGAAAGCTGGCAACCGATATCACTAGGCACGGTGGATTATGGTCAGACAATGCACTCCCTTGAAATGCACTGCTGGTCCCGGCTGCCCCCCCCCATAGGCCGCCATAGGCCCATAGGATTGAAAGCCGGAACTAGTTCTAAGCCAACCCGGGGCGTAGTTTTCCAGGGATCTGAGGGTTGATAACCCTAAACCCTAAACCCTAAACCCTAAACCCTAAACCCTAAACCCTAAACCCTAAACCCTAAACCCTAAACCCTAAACCCTAAACCCTAAACCCTAAACCCTTAACCCTTAACCCTTAACCCTGAACCCTAAACCCTAAGCCCTAAACCGGCCTCTGCTGCTCAGGGAGATACGCGCCGCTCACGGAAAGCGGGACACTGGTGGTCGGCGGCGCCTGCTGCTCATGCTTCGCTCCGCCCGAGGACTCTCCACCCTAAAACCTAAAACCTAAACCCTAAACCCTAAACCCTAAACTCTAAACTTTAAACTCCCTAAACCCTAAACCCTAAACCCTATATGCTAATTAAGCCCTAAACCCTCAACCTCTCATGCAGCAGCCTCGCTGGCTGAGGCAGATCAACAAATTTGTAGAACGAAATGAAATCTGACTAAGCAGAAAGCAACAAAGCGAAAGTATCAACGCGAATCCCTCCGAGTCCCCCTCAGCCCTCTCACCCTACCCACAACAGGCTCAACCCTGAATCCTCTAGACCCTATATTCTCCCTAAACCCTAAGCCCTGAACCCTAAACCTCAAACCCTCAGCCCTAAACCTTAAACCCTAAACCCTAGACCCCGTAAACTAAACCCTAAACCCTAAACCCTAAACCCTAAACCCTAAACCCTAAACCCTAAACCCTAAACCCTAAACCCTAAACCTTAAACCCTAAACCCCAATGCTGCGAGAACTTTCGTCTGGGCCACGGCCAGTGCCTCGCGGCCCTGGCGCCCCTCCGCGCCGCCGCGTCGCTTCGGAGGACCGTGGATTAGGGTTTAGGGTTTAGGGTTTAGGGTTTAGGGTTTAGGGTTTAGGGTTTAGGGTTTAGGGTTTGGGTTTAGGGTTTAGGGTTTAGGGTTTAGGGTTTAGGGTTTAGGGTTTAGGGTTTAGGGCCTACGGCCTAGGGTCTTTGGTTTAGTGTTTTTAAGGGGTTTAAGGGTTTTCAGGGCTTTGAGGGGGTTAAAGGTTTGTAAGGGCTTAGAGGATTTAGAAGGAGTTTCTGAAGGGGGGCATCCCCAACCCCCTGGCAATGAGTAGGGAATGGGGGAATTAGGCACCATTATGCAATCCCTTGAAGAGTATACAGGGGCATCTAGGGGTGCCCAGCATTCTAATATAGCCCCATTCCCTCATTCCCTACCCAGACCCCTGGGAGGATCCTTCCCGGGGTCTGGGTAAGCAAGAACCAGTAAGTAACCCTAAACCCTAAACCCTAAACCCCAAATC